TAGGAAGTTAAATATTTGGCCCATTTAAAACATAAGAATTTAAAAGATACTTTATTTTAGCCCTTCTACTTTCAAAAACCATAGAATAGAATTTATAAAACAAATATTTTTATTCTAAAATTTTCGGGGTGTTACAATAATCGTATCATCACCAAAGCATGCAACACATCATCGTCCTCCATCTAACAACAATTGCTGCATTGTGAGTGGAATGTGGGACATGTTTTTGGACGAGTCCAGGTTTTTTTGTGGCACTGGAAAAGATACTAGTTCTTTATGCGTGGAGATCGACCACTATCATGGACTGAGACCAACCCTAAATCTTGGACTGAAGAATATGCAAGAAAGCTCTATTGTGACACCTAAGTATCAGCTGCATTTTAGCTGTATATCACTCCAAATAAAAAGCGTGAACATTTGTTGTTAGCAATGTATTGCCAGGTTCCTGCAAATGTGTGCAACTCTTATGATGTGTTTAATTGCAAGAAGAAAGTTTACGTGGGAAGAAAATAAATTCTAGTAAATTGAATTGATTAGAACTTATTTACTTGAAAACTATTAATTAAATGTATTTGATTGATTTAATTTTCAGCCTATAAAATGTTATACTTATTCATATTTTATGGATATGTAGATAAAAGAGAGAATATGTGAGAGAGAGATAATTGTCTTGAAAATAAAGACATACTCCTCCAAATAAAAATATTTTCGTTGTTTTTGAGAAAAATATGTCTATATTTGTCATCCATTTATCAAACATTGTTTGCTACAATAAACAATCTCCATCACATATTCAATCAAACCCTATTTGAGCCAAATTATTATAAAATGAGAATGAAAAATATAGCCGTTATTGGGACACACACAAGAGATAGAAAATTTGAATTTAAATGTTGATGTGATGAATAACGGTCATATTTTTCATTTTAATGAAATAATAATGTAGATCAAACTCAATAAAATATTCTACACAAAAATCAATAAACTTACTTTACTTTTCAACCACACATTCTCCAAAAAATACTATTCAAAACTCTATTTCTTCTCCCAAAATGGGAGACAAACAAGCACTATATTCACGTGATCAACTTTTGGAAAATATTATNAATTACATTAATTTTCAACTACACATTCTTCAAAAAATACTATTCAAAACACAATTTCTTCTCCCAAAATGGGAGACAAACAAGCACTATATTCACGTGATCAACTTTTGGAAAATATTTTCCCGGGAAAAAAATATCAATCGAACGCTCCAAAAGTTGAAACTTGGGTGGAAAACAAACATTTCCATGGAAAATAAAGTCAATCAAACACACCCTTAATCCCATAATTACTTGTAATGAATGCCTATTTCGTGAAGGAGGGGCCACAGTGACCATGCCTGAGTGACGTTTACCATGACAGACTGACAGTTCTATGCTAACTAGTAAGACTATACAGAGCGCTAACACTCTCAGACTAAACCGAATGAACTCAATCAAGCAGAAA